CGATAAAATTAAACCGTACATTAACATTTTTATAAGCTTGCACATATTATATTATATTGTAGCCATTATAAAAATGTATATTATGCTCTATACAATATACTGTAGTACTGATATCATAACACCGTTTCGGACTACGTATATTATTTTAAACGAATTATGCGGCGCCAATTATTATATGGTAATATTAATCGAATCGTAAATATAATAATAATAATAATGATACAATAAATGCCGCTGCAATTATATAGCTGCAGTAAAATAATTGCAGTTATTTGCGGGAAATAACAATTAGGTGTTTAAATAACTATACCTATGTAATTTTAAAAGATCGCTGATTAGATTATAACGTTATTGTATTATTATAATATTATTACGACGTGTCTACGATCGTCGAGCATGATATTCTGCTGCCGGTTAAAATTATTAATACAATTTTTTTTACCCCGCGAGATAATTTCGTAATACGTGCGTATTATGTATCAAATTTAAAGCTTGTAATGCGTATGTATGCATGAGTGCCCGTAGACAATTTATCAGAGAGTGGCATAACCAAATCAAACACCAAAAAGTACTTAAAACAAAACTATATTTGAAATGTTTTAGTCCAAGCGGGGCAGATGTCCTGCCTTGCCCCCCTCTGGGTGACAATGTATGTATTTATGTTTGTCTGTCCGCTGTATAAATCTATAATTATTGTATTCCGATCTAGATAAAATTTTACACACTCGACGTTCGAAACAATAGGAAAGATTCATATTATGATTTCGAAATTCAATATCTTAAGGGTAGCTCACACTGTAGGACGTGGGTGTAGCGTGACGATTTATTTGTGAAGAGAAGGCCGTCGGTGCCGCTCGTAGGTATACCCCGTTAAAAGTGTTTTGTTTAAAAACAAACAAAGGGTGGGGGTTTTTGAAGTCTACCATCCCCCCTCACTCAAAAAAATAAGTATTACACAATTTTTATAATTAAAATTAAGACAAATAGAACAAAAACGATACCACTTATAGACATTTTAAGGTTCAAAACACTAAAAAAAATGTAGGCAACTCTCGTGACAGTTGCCGAGCATTCGGTCGAAACAAAGCAGTGACTAAAAACGTGTCTGTTTAATATTCTCCCGGATGGCCCGGCTATAATATATCTTTCCTGTTATTCATCATCGAAAGAAAAACACGTGACCATATAATATACGGATCCGGTATAATAATAATATATTACACCATAGAAACATCCGTACCTAATTTGATCGACGATTTAATACTTTTTTAATTAAATTTTTAATACTTTACACAATACGCATATTAGGTATACCGCGCCGCACGCTGTTATTAGATGATTCGTTACGTATGCAATAATTCATTATTGAAACCATAATAATAATTTGTTTAGTCATTATTTTGCGTACTTATACGTATAAACGATCTGGTGACGGGATGCATCGGCCATAATATAATACGTGATAATATTAATTGAATAATATAAATGTATAAACGTATATGAGAAATTAAAAAACTTGGAATTTTTAATTATTCGTTTACCTTTGGCATTATTATTATTTGTGTATTTCGGAAATACTTTGTATTTTCGGTTAGTAAAAAATTTAGAGCATTTTTCCAATTGTTTGCGTCTTGGTATACGTTAAAAATAAGGGGTTTTGTCCGTAGGTGCTTTATTTCAAAACAAATTTCTCGATTCTTAGCCGGGTTTAAAAAAAAATTTAAAACCGATTACAATTACTATACATCACATTGATTTTGTGTTTTTTAGATATTTTTTTTATTTACGTTGCGGTTATAATGGGAAATAACCGCGACTAATATACACTACGATTTGAGCACCGCTTAAAATAACTTTTTATCGCAATGATTTATCGTTTCCTTCAGTACACAAACTAAATTATTGTATACAACCTTCCAAACTTTCCACCTATTAAAATGGCCCACCCGCGGTGCAAATTATGTCCAGTTTTTTGAAATGTTTGTTGTTAGCATTTAATATATTTATCCAGACTAACTCTCACCTGCAGTTATTTTCAGATTGTCCCGCACTCCCAGTGACCTTTAGTATTATTCTTGTACACTCATCTGTCTATCCATCAATGTCTTTGTGTTTGGCCATCAATTCTTCATATTATAATCTAGTTATCTGTCCAATTAATAATTTCGATCGCCCCGCATATCCGTAAAATATATTATACCGCTCTTGGAGGTTTCAACTATGCACTTTATAGTTGTGCCAAACGCGTAGGTTATTTTCTTATTCTTGTTATTTATTTTCAATTAATATATTCGCGGACATTATTTTCTTGCCAGAACGAAAATATTGTACACGGCATGATTCTTTCAAAACTCAAACACCATCCAAACAAAACTTTCTTTCGTCCGATTTAGTATAGTGACACAATTTAAATTATTGAATACGTTCGACGGTTAAACAACAATAATAAAGGACACGGGCATAATATTATAATTAAGCACCTATATGTACAGGCAGAACGTATAACGATTGATTTAGGTACCGTAAACCAATCGTTTCGCAGTACGAGTGAATCTTAATATTAATATAATAATAATATTGGTTCTGAAATATTTAAACACAATTGAGACGAAATTATAAATATTTTCATAGATTATTATATTATAATCCGTGTTTTTTTTTCCCTCCAAACACGAAGCTCCAAATCTAAGTAAAAACCACGAAGCCCAGCCCTGCCCGCTTTCTCTAGATACGGCCCTGAATACCTACACCAGTTCTATAAAAAAATAATAAATAATAAACGTGCAGCCCATTGATTAAAACGTTCGGTTATTATTATTATAATACCTTGAAAATTAAAAAAAAAAAAAAAAAATTTCTTGTTTTCACATATTTTTATATTAATATTATGTTCGTGTACGACCGGAATCGTCGTTACGATGACATTATAATACTATAATGTAACCCGCAACGATTTTATGTATTTTTTTTTTGGTAAGGAGATTTATAACGAGACGTTATTTTCACGTAGGTACCTATATAATAGCCCCGAACACTAGTAGGTATTATAAAATGTTTATTTCCGCCGTCGACGAACACACCGCGTCGGAGAAAAATACTGCTCCGACAATCAAAAATACACCATCTGCAGTTCGTGATCAGAATTTCGGACGGCAAGTGGTGTTTGTTAACCGTCGGTCGGTTTCGGTTGATCGTGAACTGGTTTTAAATATTTCCGAGAGAAAAAAAAACTATATTATATTATTATATACCTACACGAAATATATTATAGAAATTATTTATACACTCGCGCGCGCGCACACACACATACATACGATAGCTAAGTTAAGCACTGGCCATATAGGTAACATGTACAACAAAAAAAAAAAACCTACATCATGTCGCTATCGTATACACATAATAATAATATTATAATCGCTTTAGATTTTCTGGAGATTTTTTTTATTTTTATTATTTTTTTTCTATTCTAGAGGGTCTGCCAGTTGGATGAAAAAAAAAAAAATAAATTTAAAAAAAAAAAAAACGGACAGACGATAAATCTTTTTTTTTCGGGCCGAAATATTTAAAGTGACTGCGGGAACCGCCAGAAATTATAATAAAAATAATAATAATATATTTCGGCGCGCGCGCAATACAAAACTTTAAAGAAACGATGTGAAAAAAAAAATATAACGCGAATATATTATTAAAATATAATGTATAGTTGAATATTTTAATGACAAAAAAATAAAACCCGTCCTCTGTTTATTATTACGAATTTCGGCGCACGGACAAAAAAAAAAATAACCGAATAGTTTTTAATATTATATCCGCCAAAAACCGTAAAAATAATATTTTATTATTTTTCACCCCGTACATACCGCGCGCGTGTTGACGTTTCCTGTATACTCGAAACGAGATACAGATGCATCACCTGATTAGCCATTTACGGCGTTATTCGTAATGTACCTTATTATAATATTATACAACTCAACAAAATATCTGTTTGGACGGTGTCTCAATGGCGTCAATGATAGCGACGAACGGCTCATCGTCTCATCATCGCCTCATTGATACAGTCCAACAAGTTCAAAAGTGATTTTTTTTTTCAATTATGTCACCTTTCACTTCGTTAAAGGATTTCAACTCAGACAGTCGTAATTTTTTTTTTAATATAAATATGTTAATTTTTGTTGACATTAATAAACCATAACATTTCACGATTGTGCTTCAGTATTGTTCAATTGTTTCGAATAATTGTTACAAATTATATCCCTGTGAGTAGATGATATTTTTGAAATAATATTACTATACTTAAAATACAAGCTACAATTACCCGGCTTCTCCCGTGTTCGGTTTGAAACCAAATAATACTTATTTATTAAACCTAACTAATTTTATTTACGAACATTTTTTTACATCAATCAATTTTGTAATAACGTTTAAATAAAATAAATTCCTTATAAAAATATACAATTCACTATACAAGTCAAAGATATTCGATAATTATAATTAGGGCTCGGGACATTGGGCACTTGAAATCCACAAAAGAGCGATCAAAATCGTTTTGAAAACGCACTTAAGAAAACAGAAAATGTTTTCAAAAGTTCCCCCCTATCTAACGGCTCTAACTTACAAAATACAATTTTCGAACACGGGGGGGGGGGGGTTTGAGAATTTTAAACTCCTCAGCATCCTCTGTCATTTCTGATTTAACAGACGAGTATTATCATGTTATCGGTACCATACAATTGTGACCAGCACGACCAAAGAGCCAATTAGTGAATTCCATTTGCGTCTGCGATCTTTTCGAACGTTACACGCAGTTCAACGCCGTTGTGACACACAATTTTTGTATACCTGTAAAATGTACTTATATACTTGTATACGAACAAAAAAAAAAATGGGCGTGACGGCGCGGCCAACGAGAATTTTGTATTTTTTTTTCTGCATATCATTATACTTTTACATAGTATATAATATATACGAACGGAAAAAAAATATATATTTTTTTTAATAACGACGAACGATCGGATGGAACGGCTGCGGCGAGATGCGATGATATTTATTATTAAATTCCGAACGAGTTCCGAAAAATCTCTCGGGCAATATATTATTATAATCTGTAAGTATATATAATACCTATACTATGTTATAATAGATCGGCCTGTTTTTTTTTTATTTTGAACTCGAAAATCACATGTTATACGCACAACTATGTAATAACACCAAAGCGTCTATTATTATAAAAATATATTTTATAAAAAAAAAAAAAAAATGAACACTTCCGCGGGCTCCGAACGAGTATAATATGTATTAGTAATTCAATCGTCGTGTACTCTATGGGCTTTTCGTCGATTGGCGGATCTGAAGCTTTTTTGATGGGGCGTGGAGGGCGGCGATCTGGGACCATACAGGTATACAAAACAATACTGTAACAACCGTAAATAAATCTCAAGCGGGGGAAGAGTCCAAAATTATACAATTTAATTATTATACTATACACGCTCGCGTTTTATATATACGTTCAAGCGCACGTCACTGGACACCTCACCCCAAGTCTTATAGCCTTAGGATACCTGCAGTTATATAATATTATATAATTCAAAATTTATAAAAAAAAAAGTCCAAAGAGCGGACGATCCTTCTCCCCCCCCCTCATCAATGAATTTCGCGGGCACATAATTTTAAACTACTATATACTGTTGTATTGTGTACTATTATGATAAGTAATATACAGAGTAGTAATTTTTTTTTTTCTGCAGCCGCACTCGACCGCCGCCACTGTAGTTCACTTTTCTCTCGCAATACATAATACGATATTATATTATTGTAAGTGTACAACTGCCGCCCCGCGCAGTAAACAGAAGTCGTTCGTCCCTCACGTTATTTATAATATATATTACCTATATATAATAGGCGTGTGAGAAAAACCGAAAAAAAAAGACGTTCGATTTTTTTTTTCTTCACTCACACACACACACACACGCACACAAATACGCACCATATCTTGGCGTACCTACCGGCGTGTGACGTCACCCCGAGAGTAGCCTCGGCGTCGTATAAAACTCCTATACTTATACATACGTCCATTCGTGTGTGTTCCCTTTCGTTTCGTTATTATTATTACTATCGTCGTGTGTGTGTGTGTGTGTGTGTGTGCGCGCGAGCGCGCCTATTGAATCCAAACACACGCACTTCCCATACAAAATAATGTATTATACTCACCGGGGCGACCGGTAACATTGTAAATCAAGTCTCTGTATAAAACCGGACGGACGGCCGAGACACGCCTACGTCGTTGTCGGCGAAACAGGACACCGAATTCCCATATTGGTCGGCGACACGACTCCCGCCGTCGGCTCGAGGCTGTTGCGGCGACCGATAGACGGACGTTTTTACAAAAAAAAAATAATAATACCCGTGTTATAATATACGCACCGCTTGTATGTTATCGCGCATCTATCCCTCGGATTATAGAGAGAAAAAATACACGTTAGCAACAGCATCAGTTCCGTCATCATTAGAGTCGAATTTTTCCGCGGCCGACTCATTATTACCGTTACAACGTTTCATATTATATTTGAATTTTTTTTTTTTTTTTGTCGAGGAATCGAACAAAAAAATTTTGATAGAAATGTTGGTAAATCGGCTTTCGAAAGTACAAACCTTTTACGCACACATCCTCGACAACAGCTCTATATATACACATTTTAAAAAAGTTATTCTTACTTTCGTGAGTTTGAGTGGTTTTTCAATATCCGGTATTTCATGTTGTAACGTAAAATATGAGGATGATTATAGTCGGGTATAGGGTTGAAAGTCAAAACCACCAAAAGGCACATGCTAAATACTTACACTACGCATGTACAAAATTTCGTCCTCCTAATTTCATTTGCGAGCTTGTGGGGATGTAAAAGGGTAAAAAAAAAAAAGTCACCGTTCTTCCGCAAAAATACGGTAAAAATCGATATTGAAATTCGAACTTTTTGATCATTTCAATCCGTCTATGAAAAAAACTCTAATTGCTGAGTTTCAGTTCTTTTGGTCCGAGAAAGCTGTTAAAAGTGTCAGAATGTACCGGGAAAATTCAATAAAAAAAAAAAAAAAAAACGAATTCCGAAAACTGTACGCCGCAGATAGATGCTCACGAATAAAACAAATGTCACGCCATTATCAATGGGTTTTTTGTTTAGACTTCTGTTGTTATACTTGTACACTTGTACACTTGTAACATAGCGAAATATTTCTGTAACTTTCACGATAATAACCGTAAATTTAATATTAATTATCGTAGTACCTATTATTATAACACAGCGAGAAATTAATTTCCCGGAACGGCTGGCATTTAAAACAAATACCACGCAATGTATTATGCATATCGTCTTAAAACGGAATTTGCGAGCGGCTGGGGTCGTGCGTATTCGTTCCTTGACCTTTACGAATTATTTTGCAATTACGAAAATTATTGTATTTAAAAGTGCATCGTACATTAATTTCACGATTGTTATCCCATTATTATCCATTAATATCAAGTTTAAAAAAAAAAAAAACAACACTGGAATTATGGACATTCTAGATTTTTCGTGTTTGTCTAGAAAGGTCGCAGAACCATGCGAGTGATGTTATAAATATTGTTTTGTAACAAAAAGAGCTTATATTTAAAATTGTATTTTGCGTGTTTTATCGTTATTCTCTATGAATACATATTTTTGAGTATACGGGTATTAGACAAATTAAGAGCATAATATATATTATACGCAGGTACACAATTGGAACATTTTGGTGTTTATAATATAACATAATATGAAAAGCTACACAAATATTGTTTTTATACAAACAGTTTTGCAAACGTGTACCTCTATAGTAAATCGGTTAGGTAGGGTTATTAGGTCCTCGGGTTATTAGGTATATAAATACATATATATTAGCTGCGGCGCTGCAGTGAAAAGACAATAATTGTCGGGGCGAAATACTGTAAAAATAATGGAAATACCCTGCAACCGTAGCGCGCGGCAGTATCCAGGTGCTTTTGTTTCGGTTTTATACGAAATATTCAATAATCGCGACGCGTTAAACGGGGAAAAATTGCCCGAACGACGATACGAATTATCATACATATAAGTATTCTAAATAACGTGTCGGTATTTTTTTTCATTCGAAATCCTTATAACGGGCGCCCACCGTGGGCGGATGGTACCTACTTTTTATAGAGAATAAAATAACATCGGAATACGGTCCGCTTCGGATTGCGGCCCGCGACCGTGGGCGTGCGGCGTGCCGCGGTAATCGTTTTGCTTGAACCGATCCTGCGACAATAAAAGGAATTCTACGCTCTTTCGTAGATTTGAATTTTATATATTATATTATATATAAAAGAGAAAAAAAAAAAAAAAAAAACCTAATAGGTATACCGTATTATATTGTATAAATCGTTCTGTCGCGGTAAAACCCCGCGGGGAATTGCGATGGCGCAGTTTTTATACGAAGACGTTCCTTTCTGCTTTTTTCCAAAGACGCGCGCAAGCGCAAGCGCGCCCGCGCGTATTAAACAAAACGAGGACGTTAAAGGAGATAAAAGAGGCAATATAATTCCGCAATGCGGGCGTTATATAAAGTATAATATATAAATTTCCCGGGCAGGAGAAAAAGGGAAAGAGTTGGCGCGCGCGGGGAACGACAGCAGAGAGAGAGAGAGAGAGATAGAGTGAGAGAGAGAGAACTCTGATAAAGCCATAACCGTAGATCTGTGTCCGGGGGGCAAGGTTTACCTAACTAACTCCCGGGGCCATTATCTCTGAGAAAACTTTCAGCTAAATTGACTATTTTCCAAAGGTCTTCTTCGTTTTACTTTATGCGGCACCGAGAGATTCCGATTTTTATCAGGCCGTAAACTTTTATCGTCCCACCCCTCCGCACACTTTTGCGCAGCCAACGTTGAATTTATTTTTATTTGTGGCCATCATAAATTTGCCGGGACGGAAAAAAAAAATAGATATTACCGCTGTGCACCGGGAACGTTAAAACAAGTCGAGAACAACTCACCCCATTTAATGGCGTACTCGACTACTAGTATGTATTAAATAATATTCTCTCTCTACACACACACACACACATATATATGTATAGCTAAATTTAATCAATCCATTAACAAGTCTTTTATGCTCTCTTATTTTTTACTTTATTATTTTTTAACCGATCTGTCGGTGCAACGTCTATGAGTACAGATTTACCGCCGAATTGACCAATTACATAAATTAAATTGATCGCAATTACATTTTACGCTGCAGCAGTTCCCCGCATCGAGATTAAATCGCATCGCGTCTAAACGGTGTAAATAACGCGGTTCCGATACTCTCTTCTCTTTTAGATGACACATTGATGTGAAAAAAAAAATCATTAATAAATAATAATATTACATGTATCAGACTGAACTGAGCAAACAATTTGCAAGCTTTAAATCAAATTCATTACTAAATAACGATACTAATATTTTATGATATTGGCCTGTACAATTATATTATGTTTTATATTATACGCCCGGGTACGTTGATTTATAGTCATCGACGGTAATTCTTTATTTACTATACAAACATCCAATATCAATTTATTATAATATAAAGAAAAGTATATTTTTTAATAATCTAAATATTTGAAAACATTTGTACACTCGAAAAATACAAGTACTCCTTGTATATTTTACTAACGACAAACATGTCACTGAAATATAACGAAGAGTTTAAAACCGCTTTACGAGATCTAGTGAACAACTCCCCCAAGTTGATGGATCAATTCGGTAAATTATAACTTGTAGTATTTTATATCGAAACTGCATTTCTAGATTATATTTAAAAAAGCAACGCATCGTTCTTATAATAATGTACGCACATTATTTTACAGACAGAGTACGTTGTACAGAATGGATCCATAAGCTGATCATGTTGCCCGACGACTCTTTGGAGAATATTAAAATTCGCAACGATTACGCCCAATATCTACGGATCATGGTCAGAGCCGGTTGTCTACACGGCATATTCTCCGAGAGCCCTCCGAAAACGATCATGCCGTTTCCCGAAGCTATGGTAAGACACAAATATTTTATTTTTGTTTTCCTTCTGACATTTAATTTAATACAATATATGGGTGTACTCTCAGTGGGTTTCACTACAATCACAGTGCCCTTTCACTTTACTCGATCCCGAATAATCGACACAAAACAGGAGGGGGTTGGGTTTACCGCCACCAAAAATCAGCAAAGTCTCTCCCTAAATCAAGTTACCCAATTAACATTTACGCTTCAGCAAATATTATTCGGGCTATTTTATGCCTACGATTCTGAACTATATTCAAATACTTCTCTCGTCCACTCTTGTAGTTTTTTTTAATATCGGGTAGTCTCTGTCCAAAATAATGTTAACGGCCCCGCGGTCTCTTGGTCATTAACGTTCAGAACGGTTCAATATACGCGTGCGTCGTTCTCGATTATTCGCAATCACGTGCCCAAACCATTCGGACATTTAATTGAAGTTTTATTAACGATTTACAATATTTTCACAGGGCAAGTTAATAGCGTCCAAAATACCGGCACTGCCGCCCATGGGACCGATTAACGTGTACATGAAACACTGGTCTCCGGACGGAAGAGCTTACGTGGCCATAAAGCCGATACCGGGAAAAGGAGTTTTGACTTATTTGTCGGTCACTCCACAACCCGAGTGCCCGCATTAAGTGCGCAGTGCGAAAATATAAACCGCAATATAATATTCATAATCTACACTGTCGATAATGATTTTATAGCATAAGTTTTATTGTCGCAATTAAATTTTTAAACAAATATTTCGTAATCCACACTACTATTTATTGGTTTTATATCACCGAGAATATTTTGTTTTCGCAATTACAGACTATTTCGAATTTACACATTAATATTATTAAAAACGCATCGATCCCAACATCAGTTTTAATATTTGGTTTCGAAGCAAATTGACAATTTTCTTTTAACACGCCGTTCATCAAGATTAATTTATTGAATATATAAAACATATAATAAATATAACACGTTTAAATAACAATAATATAGCCGTCTTAGTTAGACGATAGTGTTTGTTTTCAGTGATGATGATGGTCATGATGTCAATATAACTGCAGAGGCCGCGCTGCGGGCGACGCAATAAAAATAAACTATAAAAAAAAAAAAATACGATGACGCAAAGTGTCGTTTTGTATGTTAATTAAAGTAGTTTCGAATGTTGTTTTTTTTTTTTTTAAATTTTATTTTATTGCTCGTAAAAACTCGTATACAGGTATTATAATACGGCCTATAAGCGTTCGTGTGTGTATTATAGCGTTTACGCCTCTGCACAGTGGTCGATTCCGGTGTACAACTTACCGTCCCGCAGTATATAAATACGCGAGTAGCGATCTCATCTCATCACTTAAAAATAATTTTTTTTTATCGCGCGTACCTGTAATATCTATACCGCACGGCGTACGGGCGGAATGTCCGGCAGACGGTGCGTCGTACACAGACGAAAAGAAAAGGAACGCGTGCCCGCGGCGCGTAAAGTCGAAAAAAAATGCGTCCTCCGTGGGCGTATTACTGGCAGTCGCCGGCTGATAAGAGCCGTACCTATATTAATATAGGTATTATGTATAAGGTATCGTCATCGTATTTTCGACTGGGCATTTGCTATTCCCGCGGCGACGTACAATATAATATTGTTATTATAATTTAATGTTTTTTTTTTTTTTTTCTTACAACCGGTCGGTAATTATACCGTGCGTTTTCGTGTTTGCCGATATCGATACTGCACGATGTTGGCCGTCGACTGTCCAGTTTTAGACCCTTGAAAATAACTCGAAAGCAGGATTTTTTTCAGGAGAGCGATTTTTCGTATTCAACGGATATTTAGTCGAATAATATAAAACGTGAATACCGATATATTATACGAATACGCGAATCAATTGCAATGAGTACTGGACCGAAATATGTTATGCTAAATCGAAATAGTAGCTCTCCGGTGCGGACGTAATTTTATTGATTTTGATTGCGTTGATTTGAATCGTAATTGTTTCGAAAAGGAAAAAATAAAAAAATAAAAAACCGGTGAAGTTAACTCATTTTCGATTCATTTTGAGTCGGTGCAGTCTTGAACTGGAAAGTCGACATTACGCGCGTACCATAAACGTGCGCATTTCGAAAAACTGCGTGTAACGGCGTTCCGTTTACGCGATATAACGGCCGAAACATTATGTAGGAGTTGCGCGTGACGATAACGAAAGTCCGAACCGTGTTACGGGTGGTCGTGATAAGGCTATATTATGTTGTAGTGTGTATACGTTTCGTCACGAACAGGTTTTATTTTTTCTCATTTTCGCTCGAAAAGCATAATAAAAAAGTAACGCGACGACAACGAATCCGCGGTACACAATAATAGGCGGTAACGTAAAGGCGCCCGATATTGTATCATGACGGTGTAGAACAGCATTTTCGCCGGTATACGCTGCTCGCACTATGTAATTTATTAACAATAGTAATTAAAAACGAAAGTAAATTACGAGCGTATAGTTATAACTTATAATACGGGTGTACACGTATAAAAGCGAAAATGTCCATGTAAATTAAAAAAAAACAAGTGCCGGTACCGTGTTTTTTTTTTTTTTTACTAGTATACGCGCGTATCGGATAAAAAAGGCTAACGGGCGCACACACGCGTTACTAAAACGAATAATAATTATTATTATTGTAAATTATCGTATAATATCTAACCTTGATTTTTCGGAAGTATTTTTTTTCGTTCGTTTTTAATTAACGCCTCGGGGTACCTACGCCAACCAACAGTAATTAACCGGGTGCGTGTTACTCCGCGTGATGCTTAATCGATGTCATAAATATGAAGAAAAAAAAAAAAGTGAAACTTTAGCCGAAAATACATATAATAAATAAATAGTAATAATATTTTAGTTAACTCGTGTCGGCCGACCGGCCGGTGGTTCGTCGCTGGTTACGAATAACGTTTCAAAAGCTGATAAAATTTAATAACAATAATAATCATAATAAATAATGCGTTAACCGCGATAGGAATCTAATATTAATTCAAAAAAAAAAAAAAAAGGTGTTAGTATAGTATGGTATTTAAAACCGAGGAAAATATATCGCGTTTGGTTGACGACCATCACACGCGTTTACTGTGTTATATTGGCGTAAAATACACATTAATGTAAAACGAATCCAATTGGATAGAATTCGAAAATAATTTATGAAATGGAAATGTCGTAAGTTTTCAATAAGATTTAATTTTTCAAACTACATTTTTAAAACAATTCTCGACTATAATATTTTATGCAATTGGCTTGTACGATAATATATTGTACTTTACGCATGCGTATTCATGCCATAAAGCCGATATATCGGGAAAAGGTGTTTTGACTTATTGGTCGGTCACTCCACGACCCGAGTGTCCGCAGTGAGTGTGCGCAGGGCGAAAATATAAAGTGCAATCGTTTTCACAATCTATATTGTCAACAACGGTTTTATTGCATTATTGCATATTGTTGTACGCAATTCAATTTTAAACAGGATTTCGTAATCCACACGCCAGTTCATTGGTTATAGATCACGAAGGATGTGTTATGTTTACACAAATTTAAATTATTTTGAATTGATACACGGTGCGCAGGAGTCGTGCGTAACAATAACGAAAGTCAGATCCTTTTGGGGACTGATAAGACTATATTTCAATATAATATGCGTTATTATCCGATTGTGCATGAAATAAGTAGTAATAATATTTCAGGTAACCAGTGTCGGCCGACCGACAGGTCGTCGTTGGTTATTACAAACGTTTTTAAGCTGATAAAAAAAAAAAAAAAGGCGCTTATATAAATTAAAACCGAGAAAAAAATATCGTGTTTAGTCTATTCGACAACCATCGCACGCGTTCAAAATGTTGTATAGAAGTACAATAATATGGTATAATTGGATTTTTTAATTTATATGCCTACTGTGCAGTTGCCATGTATATTCATATTGAATAATATAAATTATTTTATTCACAATGTAATGGTTAAATTACTCCCATAAAGAAATAAAAAAAAAAAAAAAAATACATAAGTACTCAATACATAAGTACTTATACGTATAGCTGCAGTGTTCTTCTATATTATTTATCGTAAAAAACAAATTACTCACATGTATAGATGTATATATTTTTTTTAATTAAAAGAAAAATTTTAAACTACCAAATTAAATAGCTATAATATTGTTATAAGTATTTTTATGAAAAATATGCATTTAAATATTATAATCATCTTATATCGAACACAGAAAGAAATTGAAACGAAATTAAACAAATATTGTCTATGCATGGAGGAAAGGAATTGTAAGAGTTTTAACTATTTTTATATGGATTGCCGTTCCCGCTGTTCGATTACATTCAAATTAAAAGTAACCATACTATCATGTTCTGTGGTTCCAATATTACAGATCGATAAGAAAATATCGGTCCTACAAAATAATAACATTTTCTACCAGATAATCTGAAATAATAACAACATTGTTAAAAAAATCAAATTATTCATTGGTTTTTGTAAATGAATAGTTAGTGTCCATTAATTAAATAGGGTTTCGAGAGTATAAAAAGCGAAAGTTTTGAGACTATTTTAAACAAAGGCCCCGAAACCATAATATTATAAACTATAAACTGCAAAAAATCATTTAGATAAAAAAAGTTAAAATATATAAATAAAACGCATAAAAAAAAATAAAGAAATATAGGTAGGTATTATAATTATTATTATTATTATTATTACTTTTTTTTTTTTATAGAAATTTAATATACTATATTATAATCATTTAAAAGTTCAAACTATAAGAAAAAAAAAATTGGCGAATAACGTAGACATTTACTCGATTTGGAAAAAAAAAATGTCAATTACCATTTTTTCCACATTATAATATTATGTGCCCGGAGACTGGTATGTGATTTACTATTAAATATATTAGACGTAATTAAAATCTGCACATAACAGCAACAATAATATTTCGATATTAGGAACGTTTCACATTATGAAAAACGTAAAGAAAAATATCACGTTGTCGTCGCATACTCGCATGGTCGAATGGACACGAATAAATTATGGCTTAATATTTTCAGTACATTTTTTCTTCTTCGATGTATATATATATAACTAAAAGTAATAAAACGTGTAAAAAAAACACCGCTGTATGTACAATATTCATGTTTTTTCTTTTTTTTTTTAAATTATTATCATGCCCTATATGTATAATATAATGTTATTATATAATATATATTTATATATATATATTATGTGAAACGTTAGACTATCTGCAGGAGGTGAGCTATACTTACTCGGGAATAAAAAAACGACTATCATGTACATTTTGTACCGTATTTGTATACGAAATTATGCTTTTAAAAAGAAAACTATATACGCGTGATAGGTGCACTGTTCTTTGTCGTTATCCGTCTGTAAACCGCTTTTCCACCAGAAATCTCGCTCCTGTTCAATACTTGACATGATCTATAGTTCGCGTATTAAGAGAGTCACTTTTTGATTTTTCTTGTAGTTTTCTAATAATAAATGGGAAACTACGTAAGAATAACCGAGTATGTTTATGGAAATAATGGTTTCGTCGAAAATATTTCGTATTTTTGTTGTAATTAGGTTTAAAAAATCGTAGACCTGGAAATTTCACATAATAATAATATATTAGCACTTTCTAGACGTAGGTAAGGGTTTTTAAAGATTTCCTAAGGGCTTTTTGCGGATAAAAATGTTTTGGCCGACGAGAAAACATTTTACGCGAGGTTCATTATAAATTGTATAATCGTAGGAAAAAAAAGTATCCTAAGTTCAATTTTGATGAAAATTGTAAATATCACGACGTTTCAAAACACGTTTGACAGAATTTCGCGTAGAATCGCATTTTATCCCCGACGATTTATAATTCCCGTTTATATAACAGTAACAGCACACCTATAGCAGTACCGGGGTTTCTTGGTTCCTCACCCGATTCGACATAATTTTCGGGACGAAAATTTTTAAAATTTCTATTTAGGTAGGTACGTGGTACACGAATTATTGTACAATAAATTACGTCGTAAAATGCATTATAATATGTATGAATCAAAACGTCCGATGATTGTTATCGCGTCAGTTTTTCAAAATATATTATTGCGGTTATATTCTCGAGTGCACTGTACTCTATAATATCCATTGGCTTCGTGTCCGATCGTAAATATAAAACGGTATATATATATATATATATATTGTGTACCTATATTTATTTAACATTTGTGTGTGTGTGTGTGTGTGTATCTGTGTGTCTGTGTGGAGATACAGAAAGTTTTATAGTCTCCGCGATGTCGTCCGTGTTATTTATTTCCCGTGTTCGTTTGCTAGATACCGTACAATATTATATATTATTATTATTATATACCTATATATTATACTCGCTTTTAAACCGTGAATCACGATAGTTTGGAAAACACACATAAAAAAAAAAAAAAAAAAAAAAAAAGTCGTGTAGTGTTTTCTTATTGCTGCAGCGCAACTCGCAATCTTTTAATATATATATTATACTTACGTATTTTTATCAAAATGTATCGACCTCAAAACCGTATGTACCTACACACGAAATAACGTACCTCGTTATTATCGTATATAACGCATTATAATATTCGATATCAATAAACAAACATCACGCGATTCCGTTTTTACAATCGTTCTCTATACTGTATTATTAGGTATTATGTCATTTTTTTTTACGTAATAACAATTTTACGATTGGTGTGTTAATAATTTCAATACGTACTTGCTGAAAAATCCGATTCGTTTTAATGTTTCACGTTCAAGTGCAAACGAGACGAGATCGTTATTCTCGAAGGCCAAAAAACCGCGCTGGCACCGGGCCCTTCAAGCTCTTCTCTCCCGGATCCAAAAATATATTTGTTTAAAATGCAAAGGAATTTTATGTATGTATATAGTTTTAAAATAAAAACGACAAATAATAATAATAATAATAAAAAAAAAACCCTTACGATAGATTAGATAAAACATTTTGTACACAAATATGTAATATTGTAATATATATAAAAAAAAAAAAAAAAAAAAAAATATAAAATTTAATAATATTTTAGCGTGGAGTTTGGGGCACGGCCTTAAATTATATAAAATAACCGTCGTAAACCAATGCGGAATATACAGTGTGTATACAATATACGCACTCCGAGTATTACACGTTATACAGTATTTTATCCGAAATCGGCACGTATACTTCCGAGCTGCAGCATTATAATATATACTGCTGCAGTGTATTATGATAACACGATTTTATTAAATCTGAATACGAGTATATCTCGGGGAAAATCGCCGCGTAAAACAAATGCGCGGGGAGGGAACAATATTATAATAACGGATATAAAATGAAGTATCGGATGACCCGAAAACCGAGTGACCGACGACGAGCACGAAAATCGCTCGAATATCTTTGACAAAACGACAATATTAATATAATATTACATCAAATTATATTGCACCTATTCACAGACAAGAGAGAAAAAATAATATCTCTGTATAGGTAGCGTTTGGTACGACAATGCGGTGTTATGATGCTTAGTTTTAATATTAGAGTGATTCGACTCGGTTATCAAGCGTAAAGATAAGAACATTGTCCGCGCAACGTTGACGCAACGTTTTTTTCCCGATTTTAATTTTCAAACGTGATACAGTAAACATTGTTGAACTGTGATATTTCAGATGCTTATAACGCATAATTTTTTTCGAACCGCCCGTCTCCGGTAATTCATATGTACGACGAGTACTGTGTACACTCTACAGGCGTGTACGGGTGTACCAGTACATTAAAACATCAAACGGAACAATTCTGCTCGATCGCACAATCAATATTATAGCGATGTATTCAACGGGCTATGTATTGCACCTGTGTACAGATTGTGTTCTTTAATTCATGTGCCGTGCAGGCATATGCGCCGATAACTGCAACCATCACATCGTATCAACCGATTTGTATACAACTAGTGTGATCGAGCCGTCTCATAGATGCCACATGTGCCGTCACACTATTAAAGAACATAATATGGATATTTCTAAAAATTAATTAACATAGATTACCCAAGCGAATTTACGCGGAGCCGTTAATTGAAATTGAACGACATTTTTAACGGCGTATGCGGCGAAATCGGTCGCGTTCGATTTCAATACTTATATAGATACTGGCGCGCCTGTATAATAATAATAATAATAATATTATAGATGCGCTTGCCAAATAATTGAAATAATATATTATAGATACTGAAGTGGCAAAACAGCCGTAGTTTATTGTAACTGTACAGTTCTATTTTCGTAGTATAAAACGTTTCGACGAGCGCGTACGGCACGACGCTAAAATCGCAAACTATTAACATATGACACGACACGCGTACAATAATTCCTCCGAAGAAATTGTCTTGAAAACATATCGAGGACGCGAACAGACGACTTTATTGTTGTAATAATACAACGGTCCTGGCAACCGCAGTTGATATAATAAAATGCGTATACCACAAGGTAAGATAATTAAAAAAAAAAAAAAAAACAACCGTATAGGCTTAATTTAAAAAAATACCTCTTTTTTTTTTTTTTTTTTTATCGCAGCTATAAAGCGATTATATTATTATATTACATTAATGCGGCGAGACGAAAACGGCGCGCGATGTGTTTGAAATTAAGCGGTTTTTTTTTTCGTTTTTAAACTTATTACTATATATACTTGTCCCGGGCCGCCGCACCGTCGTTTTGTACACGGATAATGCGTTACGTTTGGAAAAAAAAAAAAAAAAAAACTTTCAAAAACGTTTGACCGTAAATTATTGTGCGGCGTAAACTCTCGTCTCGACTTGCGGGTACCAACCTGTATCTATAAATATACGTGTAATTTTTTTTTTACCGCCGCATACAAGACATAACACTTCACGGCAGTAACACGACTACAGAACGTATCTGTGTGTATAGGATTTGACAATTACTCGCGCGCAGTAACATGCGATTACACTATTGCGATTGTGAAGTCCTGCGGATACACTCTGTATACGTACTATAAAGTGGCGACATTGTCGCCGCCAAGTTATTTCTGCCCCCCCCCCCCCCCCCGCAACATAATCGGAACCCGTATACAGTACGCGATAATCATTGTAATTCCAGTACCGCGCGGTCGAGGTGTCGCACACACACATCGTATCCGCAGGATCGCGCGCGAATGTACAATAATAATATAATACAATATTGTTATTGAGTGTTAAAAATAAATAAAATCGGTCGTTTTTTTTTTTTCTTTTAGTATTCTACCGTGACACACGCGGCGACCACGGCCGTCGTATATAAAGTAATATTAAAACGCCTTCTCCGAACGCGTGCAAGAATTATTGGCTCGTATCTGCAGTTAATAATAATAATAATAATAATAATAAACAAAAAAAAAAAACCAGCTAAAGAGTTACTATTCATTTATATATTTTTATATATAAATTTATACACACACACACACACACACACACCGCGAAACGATAAAATATTCGGCTTACGGCTTGGTAAAATAAAACGATTTCAATTCTATCTGAACGGTTTCTTGTATACGAACTATGCGAGTCCCTAAGAAAACGAATCGAGTGCCGTGTCGTAGGTACTGTACAATAATCGAGTCGCATTCGATTTAAATCGCAGTATCATAGGGAGGCAGCGCCGGATTCAGGGGTGCCCGTATACAGGGAGGCTCCGGGCTGCAGTACTCAGTGAGCTTGGTAAGACGGAGCTCGGCTCCCCACGGTTCTGATATTGTATAAAAAAAAAATAAAATTGTCATGTACATCCTCAAAATATTAATTTTATTTATAACAAATTAATTAAGAAAGATTAACGTTTTTTTTTTTTGTTGTGTGTGTTTATAAAATAGTTAGCCTACCCCCGATGACATTTTCAAAACATGGCGTCTCTGGCCGGATTTACCTAAAACGCGCACCTGGGCTAATAAAAACCAAGCCCCTATTTCTGCATGCCTGATTGATGGATTCGCCACCGATATAGTGCGGGTCGATTTGGCCGATGACCTTTTTCTTTTGACCCTTTTTTACGTTACTTATGATATCGGTACGTTACGTAACATTTATTTTTATACGGTATTCGAACGCAAGAGCACTATACCCGATGTAAAGGTCGCGTTTTTTTTCCCCCCGTTCCGCACAATAGGTATTATGTACGCCGGACATCTTTGTCTTTTGCCACGTGTGGAGGGGGGGGAGGATTCGCGCGCGTAGTACCCGAACCGTATCACGCGGCCCCGTCGCGTGCGCCGAATACGTTTCCCGCGACGCGGCCAATCGAAATCCGCCGTTTTTATTCGCAGACGCGTTCATATTTCATGTCGGGAACTGTTATGTTAACTGTGTACGGTTTAGGTCGTATACAGGAGAGAGCCGCAGCAGATTTTTCCACCGCGAAGCGAAAACTACCGTTTCCGTTTTCCGGCGGCGACGGCGGCTGCGAGGGGTACGCTTTTTCGAGGGGGCGTATGCGGTCCGGGAATGTTCGCCCCGTCAGCTTCCCCGCGGTGCACGAGTCCGGCGACTCGGCGTTCGGTCACGCGGAAGACCGGAACCGTCGTCGTCGCCCGGACGCGGAGCGTAATGCACTCGCACAGTGTGCACACCGCGCGTACACCGCCCCGGCGCGGCGCAATGGTTCACTTCCGTTTTCGTACGACGGCGTCGTATTATACTCGGCGTACCCTATCGTAACGCGCGCGATAAAATACGAATGCGCCGCGTGTACACGGTATATTTATTTTTACGGTTTTCTCTCTCGCTACGAAAAAAAAAAAAAAATAAAAAAACCAAATAAACAAAATCCATTTGCGCGAAACCGACGACGACCCGCGGACCTGATCACGGCCTATAATATTATATCGTAGTGCACCGACGACGTGACGCAACCTAACCCGGGCGATATTCCGTGTTATATCCCCGGGACGCGGACGTATCGTTTTTTACGCACACCGAAAATAATATTATCGTAGCGGTTGCACACACCGTTATGCTTTTGTTTTCCGTTTCCCCGTGTCGTTATTGTTGTTATTATTATTATTATTGTATACGAGCGCGCGCACGGTCGTACAAACATTACGCCGCCGTAACACAATATAATATCTGGCCGGGCGGATGCAACGGGGAGCGATGTTCCGGGGGGACGAATCGTCGTCGAGTCGTATAACGACGGTGCGTACGTTTACGGACGACGGGGACTCTCTCCGGACCACATTACGATAACATAATAATAAAAATAATAATAATAATAATAATAATACACTGTACGCAATACTCGCGCTACACGATATTTCCGCGTGCATACATTATTGTATTGTGAACTATTAGTGCGGTTTTCGCGCGCGTTATCATTGCGCCCCGCGGCAAAATTCAAAAAAGCCCGCGCAGCGCCGCCGCACTATTATCGCGCATTCAATACGATACACACGGACGTTTTCTACTGCTCTTGTTAACGGCCCCCCACGCACGGGTCGGCGGCGATTTTTCATTACTCGCGCGTCTCCGGCGTGCGTTTCGGTCCGTAATACGATCTCCGCTGCGGCCGGTAACTTTTAACGAAGTCCAGAAGGGTCGCGGTTATTCTCTGCACGCCGTTTTCCCCCCCGTCTACGGCACTTTATATTATTCCGCTTAGTATATATTATCTAGACCGTTACGTCCCGCAATAACTACTATTCTAGCTTGGCCCCTTTGCGTTTTCCAGATTTTCAGAAAACTTATAGCGAAAGAATTTTATTCCGGTTTATTGATCCGAACCGTTACGAAAACTCGCCGTACCTCTTCCCGTCAAATGAGTATGGGCAGTAAATCGACAGGAAAAGTCTTGAGACGGTTATCTTGTTGATCACCGTTAAAGCGGTTCCGGGGATGGAGTGAGAACCAAATTCATCCTGGTAGATTGAAATGTATCCAAGTCACCCGATAAAATACGTACCTACCAAACAAAATTTTTCTCGCTTTCTCGTTTGAACCGGTGACGAAGCCAGGATTTTGAATTGAGGGGAACTAATTTTCTGATAGAAAATTAATTAATTAATCCTTATTAGTAATAATATAAAAACAATGAATTCGGTAACGTATTGGCGTACCTACTGAAAATACTATTTGTAAAATTTAACCGTCGTTTTTTCGTACTTTTTATCTAATCTTATGATGGTTTTTTGAAAAAAAAAAAAAACAAAATAAATAAATACTATTACGAGGTCTTGACCTTCACGTGTCTATACGGTATTTCTAACTTCACTTTCGTTTTCATTCAATTATTATAGGTAATATTTAACAACTTACAGTAATATACTGATTACACATAGAGGTTATCAATTTAATAAATTAACTACTGTATTATTTTTGTCTTCGTAAAGTGTACAATAAGTAACAAATGAATGGCCGAGTTTTTATTCCCTTTTTTTTTTCAACGATAATTTTAATACCGATAAAACTATAATAGTATATCAACCAACTTTCGTACATTTTCGATTTTACAGTGTTACACCCAGTGGCGTCGAAGTAGTATAAAAATACTCGGGCAAACAAGGCAATACTGTATTATATTGGTCTTCTTTGGGTATAATATATTGCATTACTCATATAGGACTGTTTGTTATAGTTATATTTTCTACAAATACTACTCATACTATGTTTGTTTCCCACCACCCGCTTACCTTTTCCGTTTTTCCCCAAAACTAATCCACCGTATTATCACATTTAATAAGTGGACGATTTTCGTGTTGAGAAACACGTAAGCAGTGTTGTGTTAAGCGATGACGCAAAATAAAAATGTATTATTTTTTTTTTTTTATCTTGCTTATAGATAAATAAAACAGCTATCTGATTATTTAAATAAGAATTTGATTTTCGATAGATTTTAATTATTCATTAAAGTTCAACCTAACTGCAGGAGCTTATCTGATTTCAAATTTAAAACTCATTGTATTTTAATTTAACAACTATATTAACTAGTCCTCTCCCCTTCCCCATCGCCAATATTGTTATAAATTATATTAAAACACCTGAGTGTTTGATTTTTATTCACATTTCGCATATCACCGTCGTCATTGAATGATTTTTTCACATTCTGTTATAGTCTCACTACTACCAGGCGTAATCATGGATGTGATAGACGTTATCTCCGTGAACAAATTTTTTATTTTAAACATTATAGTTTTTATTTTACAAAAAGTAAACAAGTATAAAATTTGTAAAATTCCACAAACAAACGAGATTCGACTGTCGAGAGAGGGTGCGTCTGTCAGTATCAAATTAAAACAAAACTAATGGCAATTACTGATAAACAGATAAACCCCAATGGTTAACGTTTATAAACAATATAAAACAGACATCTTTTCGATTTCTAACTGGCAAGTTTTAACCATGAATAATAATTATGGTTTCATTTTTTAACAATTATGGGTTATTCATACTCATACCTATAACAAATAGATTACAATTTTTTTTATGTCTACATATTATTTCGGGGTGTTGATCAGTGAGTGATGAATAGTGATCATAGTAAAATGGTTTATCCTTTACTGCAGGCCTCTTAAATGGAGTTAAGGGGATGCGATTTCGGACATATATGACGGCATAACTATCAAGGATGAGTCTTTGGGGGGTTGAGACTCTCAACCATCGTCCTTACCGATTTTATGCTCAAATACGATCAATTAGATTTTTCAAGTTGTATTCTTACTATAATGTAGAAGGTATTCGGTTATTTATTGATTCTCGAAAATATTTATTCACTACCTACTTATCTCGTATAATGCAAAATAAGTGGGGACAAATTAGATCCTAGCGATGGCGAGCTATGCTAGTCTTATGGGTGTTCTTTTAAATATGAAAATGAGACGTAATGTCGTCACCTAAAAAATTCAAATTTCATACGTATCGTGTTTCTCTCGAAAACCGCCCAAACATAAACGGCGGCGTATTGACATACATCGACCAGGCGGGAATGCGTATTATGATTTTATTAAACGGAATGCGATTTATTATATATATAATATTATTCACTGCTGCAAACTGTTGAGGTACGTCTCGCACATTTCTATAGGTTCGAGTCGGGCCACACGAACGCATTCGTATATAATATCCGTCGGTCGTCGTGAATTCGTGACTCGCCTATAGTCGTCGGCCGTAATTGGACACGCTGAATAACTTATTGTATATACACTATAGATTATGCAGAATATCGGAATGGGAAGATTTTTTTTTTTCATTTATTTTTAACGAACAAGTTAATTTCGACTCGATTATTCAGATTTTCGATATTGACGGATATTGACAATGGCGGCTCGCCAGACGAAACAAGTGAGGTTAAGCCTTATCTATACACAGTATTCTTATACGAGTATTACAATAAATAAATGTATTTCACTATAAACGTCACCTTCAAAAATATTAAAATGAATTTCGGAAAAATAGGTATAGTAAATATTTTCAAATTTTCAAAACAACTACTGCATATAACTAAAGCCTAAAACAAACAATAATTGAATAATTAATAAAAACACTCCGTAAACTATTTCTGATAGTATGCAATATCAACAATCTCTCTCCTTGCACTTTTCAACATGTTCACACCACGACCATAATCGTAAGATTGAAGGATCTCTCTTCTCATTATTATTCTCTAGATATAAAACAGTTACAGCGGCCATTTAAGAGCCTTAATGTAAACGTCGACACGTCTATTTTCCTTCTATCTGTCTCTTTTTCTCTAATACCTAAAT